TTTCCCTTTGTCCACACACGGACAATAGCTCCCTTTGTTCCCACGTCCGCTATTGTCCTACACCCCTTGTACTCCGTACCCATGGCGACGCTATTGTTCTCTAGCGCCCATTGTTCGTTCCCTGTATATAGCTGGATCCCTTGCTACCTGGAGACTCTAGTTTCGACCTCTTGTCTCCAGGTAAGCCATCGTGTATTTCGCTCTGTAGATACTTCGCTCAATACACAACTTGTCTCCAGTCCTGCCTGTTGAGCTCCGCTCCAGTCTCACTGCGATCAGAGCTCGTCAGCGCTCCTGCCTGCCTCGCTCGTCTCCACTTACTCGCTCGACAGTCAGTCGTAACATCTCCCGCTCCCGTTCTTGCAGGCATGTCTCCTGCTCCCATTCTTGTGGGCGTGTTTCCCACTCCCGTTCGCGCGGGCGTGTCTCCCGCTCCATCTCTCGCTGACGCTCTTTGTGATCCGCCTCCCGCGGACGCTCTTTGCGGTCCAGCGGCCGCAGACAGGCCCGTCGGCGTCGTGACCACTATGGTTCCGGATCCCCATCGCGTTTGCAGTCAGGCTATCACCGACGCCATCCTCGCCATGAGTCGGATGACGACGGAGAACTCACACGGGAGGGCTTCAAGCGTGACATGAGACGTATAACTCAGTTGTATCGCGTGCCGTACGTTCCATGTTGTATTGACCACCCGAAACATGTACTGACGTTGCCTTAGGGACAGCGAGAAACGCTCCCATCTCGCAATGCTCCGAGATGTTGCCCACTTTATGCCAAGGCAAATCAGCCCATTCGAAGACTTCAGCTCACTGTTTGTTACAGGCATGAACATCTGGCAGCTCGCCCCCCAATCCGAGCTGGAAATCATCAACGCAATCAAAGCTATGCGAAAATTGTGAGTGGCGCCTACCTCAGGAAGCGGTACTGACTGTTGGCTACCACAGGAAGCTCAATGTCGCGCGCTACTATTTCTGGGTGTTCGAGGAGTTGTTGAACGAGCACATAATATTCTCCAGCTACGTTGAGAGGCTCAAAAACCGCCCCAAAGACATCATCTTAATGGGGAGATTTGTAAGTGTTGCAGCACAATGCTGTGTCCTTTGCAGTACGTACTAATCGTTTAGCTCGCTTTCCACGCGCGAGCCGCGCGCGCGACAGATATTCGAACGCTTAAGGTCGAACTGCCGAAATTTCTTGAAACTGTCGAGCTGCCTGCGCATAAAATCCCACCGCTCACGCCAGCAGAGTATTCCAATAAGGAGTGCAATTGTGGCTTCTATTCAACTTGTACTGCCCGCCTGCTTGTCAACATCAATGAGCGAGACGAGTTTGATCGTGCTCCCGATCTGTATCTCTCCTTTCTAATCCTGCCTGCCATATTTGTGCCCACTAACAAGCTCATGCAGATATCGCAACCGAAGAATTGCCAAGACACCCGCAGTAAAGAATCAGCGTTTGCGAGACGACCCTGCCACAGATGAAAATTCAACATTCCCTTCTTTTTTGTTCCCCGACGACCTTCAGTACCGACTTGAAGACCCCGCGCGTGGTATATTCAAGTCGAGAATCATGCTCAAGGTGAGTGGCGAAGTTTCTTCCCTCATGAGCTGACTCACCGCACCCCAATGCAATCCAGTGTGTACGTACACTCCTCATGGGCGCCACTGCCGCGGATCGCCCGGCCGGGAGCCGTGGTACCGATCGTTCATCACTGGCCAAAAAATACCATGTGCACTGTGTGTCCGCTGCTATCCTAGCCTATGTGGCTATCCTGGTATGTCCCCATGACTGCTCTTTCAGCTCCACTTGACTCTATGCGTGTTTTCGCAGGTACGGTTTCTTTTGGACAGCAAGCCGGAATGGGATGGTGACAATCCCAACGGCTCTGGCAAGACGCTCCATGGCGATCTCCTCGAATTCCTAGGCGTCCAATGTGAAGGCCACGAAGACTCCGCCGAAAACTATCATCCTGTGCCCATGACGGAGGGAGAGGTTCTTGATTTTCAATTTCTAAAATCGGTGTGCTGTCCATTTCCACTCCCTGCCTTGGCTGACTAAACCCTTCTACAGCTGGATTTTTGGGAACGCATATGGAGACGACAAGCTGCGACTCAAGCGCCTCGAGCAAAAGAAGACCTCACTTTACGTACGACGACAACGACAACACAAACCTCAACTCTGGTCCTGACCGCGAGCCGAACGTCCGGGAGCGGGCACTCGCTATGCGCCGAGCGCAACTATTGGAGAAGTTTGAGGCCACACTCGAGCTGGGCGACGACAAGGAACGTGCAATGTCCGAAGGGGTCTCTTACATTGGCGACGATACTGGGCCAGGTTCGCATGCAAGCCCTCTGGAGGTGTCTGGCACCTTGTGTACGGCTATGGCAGGCTCGGCTTTCGACGCTACAGGCTCGAGTTCAGACGCGCAGGTCTCAGGTTCGGATGGAACGTCCGCATAACGGCTTCCGGTGGTAAACATGTTCTTCTGCTTCTTGTACAGTTCATGGTGCATGTATGTTATCATTCCGCTCCGAATGCATGTTTCTTGACGCGATCTATGTAACTATGCATCGGCGCAACGGTTTCCATAATCCCAGAAATTATTATTATTGTTTCCTATAGGTTATACTGACCGCACATGTAGGCGCGCCCCTTCACGTCCATTTCGACCGATTCGGTCCAAACTTGTCGATGCCTTAGGCTGATTCGCTGCAGTTGGCCTGCTTCTGCTGGCACACAATACAGGCCATTGTGTGTTATGTAGCCAATTGATCTGCCTTGTAGCACTCATTACCTGAATTTCCCTCAAAGCCGTATATACACAACTGAGGCCACTTAGGCCAATTTGGCCCAACGCTTGGGGCGATTGGCCTCAATTGGTTCAAAAGGCCTCCAATGCCTTCAAGCGCTCTCTGCCGCAACTCGATTCCCTTGAAGAGGAATCCGTCACAACTTTCGGGCCTCAGAGCGATTGATTAGGGATATTGGGTACATCATCCATCAGTAAACCTGGGAATTACTTAATGCCCCTTAAAATCGCCTTTAAGGGCATTAAGGCGCTTAAGATGGCCTTAAGACCGTCTAAGATGTAAGCATTAAGATGCTCGATTAAGACACATTAAGACGATTAAGACAGGCAAGTCCGACAACGTTATGCACAGTCGTCGGGTGTGCCGGCCTCTGTCACAATGTCTGCACAGGTTCCAACAGGTCTCTCACTCTGCTCTGCTCAATCATTGGCACGTATGCCGCATGTTTTACACAGTCGAGGGTGAGCAGCTGGAAGATATGCGTGGGAGAGCTAAGTGGCTTAAGGCGCTAAGCCATTAAGCCAATGCACAGTTTACTGATGTCTTAGAAGGGCTTCAAGGCCCTTTGAGGGTGATCACAATGCACTTTTGCTGATGTACAAGCCCTAGGTCACGAAGCCTTGCACAATTTATTACAATAGTCCTAGACTAGCCGCGTATATATAATATATACAGGCTTTCACGACGTCTAGAATAATCCAATACAAGCCTACCGTCATATATACAACATCTACAAGCGTTTACAGACTCAATTACAAGCCCTGCTGTGGTTTCCGCCCTTTAGACAAGGTTTGACAAGCTTCTTTTACAATAGTCGGTGTTCATACAATATATACAGGCCTTCACAACGTCTATAACGATCCAATACAAGCGTGCTGACGTTTATACAATGGCTACAAATATTCACAGACTCGATTACAAGCACTGCTATGGTTTACGCCCTGGTGTATTTACAATATATACAGGCTTTCACAGTGTCGATTACAAGCATGGTTTACGCCCTTTAGACAAGCGTTGACAAGCTTCTATTACAAAGGTACGCTTCTATTACAAGAGCATTATACTGGTCTAGCGGCGTGTATCAATATATACAAGCTCTTACAGCGTCCATGCTAGTTTGTCCGCGCTTTCAACAAGTGATAACAAGCTGGCATTACCTGACTGCGTCGACAGAGCTGTATATGATTGTATTGTACAACATATGTACACAGAATACACAACCCTAGCAGCAGGTTAGTGGGCACTTGTAATACAAGACTGGATACTACAGGTGAACCCTGCCCCCTCGATTCGATGTCAGCCGGACCGGAGATCTGCCCATACAGGCAGCCCAGCATCAGGAAAACGTCACGGACTTGTACAGGTACTTGGGGTACTTGGCCAAGTACCTCAAGTATCCCAAGTACCTCAAGTACCCCAAGTCCAATGGACTTGGCCAAGTCGGGTGGGTCGACTTGGCCAAGTACCAGGTACTTGGCCAAGTCCTCCAAGTCCCTATTCAAGTTCATGCCCAAGTTCACTGTGAGATGTATTGAATAAAGATGATATGCATGGAAGTAAATCAAAGGACAGCTGCTCTTGATTAAGGTCAAGTGTACAATATTTGTTAGTGGGTGCAGCGGCGG